GTGTGTGGGGCGGGGGATCTGGGGACAAAACAGTTGGGTTGGGGGGAGCAGTGAGCGTAAGGAAGGAGGCGTGGGGAGATGCTTGTGCTTGGGACAGGGATTCCCTTTGAACTCCCTCAGCCCCCCTCCGGGGCCAACTGGTTGCATCAAAGTAGTTCAGTCGTTTTCCAGCCTCCCCTTGAAATGTGGACAACCCGCTCATTGAAATTCCTGGGGGAAAACTGTGGGAGGAAAATGGGGCTATTCTGACTTGCTTTAAACAGCCTGTGTAAAAGGGGCTTCAGCCAAGACAAAGTGAGCGATTCAAAGCACCCCTTTAAGGATTTTAAAAGGGGAGGATTGGAGGAGGGGTGCTAAGTGGAGATTTCCTGTTGGGGAAAAAACAGAAGACAGAACCTACTTAAAAATCACAAACCTACTCAAATCTTTCCAAATGTCCCACTGTCGCGGGATCTAAGTAGTTTGTCTGTTCTTGAAGGAAGGAGGCTTTTGTCTCGTCCCTGCTTTTCATAATTTTCATAATTCATACATTTGATTTAAAGGTCACATGCGCCTCCCAAGGGACCCATTGGTTGTGGGGAATGCCTCTGCTACGAAAATGGACCAAGGGTCGCTTTCTGTTTGTGTTCGGAGAACTAATGACTGAGCTAAACAGTTTCCATCCATCGCCAGAGATCTGTAGCTGGTACTTTGATTGGACGATGACCTCTGTTGTTTACAGGATTGCGTGTTAGCTTCTGGATTTATACATGTTTATAAAATACTGTAAAAGTAACTTCCATTCCTTCTCATTGGCCCTTTCAACCTCGTTTTCCTCTCATTTGTATTTTTCCTCTTCTGCTAGATAACACACATTGTTGTGACTTTCCTTTTACTAAACAAATCCCTTTCTCCCTCCCCCTCGGCCTTATCCTAGCCAGTGGGGATTCCAGACTGTTGCATTTGTGTAGTCAGCAACAGGCTGGGATGCTGTAAACCCAGGCTGGAGTCCTGATTGTACAATCCAGCAGAAAAGCACAGCTGGGATGTGCAAGAAGGAAGTATTCAAAATCACTGATCTCTTACCTGTTAGCAGGGAGGGGACAGAGCAAGACTAAGTTAATGACTCCTTGTTTTATTACTGTTGATTCTTTTCATGTTTCCTCCAGCACAATAAACCTTTAAAGCTTTCCTGATGTTTATGACTGCCACAGGGGAGTTCAGTTTATGAGCAGTTCTACCTAGGCACAGATATAATTAAAGAATGTGGATCTAGTATGAACTCTGATTGTCTTGAATTAATACTGACTTTTAAACTGGATCTCCGCTGTTTGCCAGTGGTGATGGTGGAGAAAGTGGTGGGTTCTAAATTTGTCTCATAGTGATGCAGCCCCAGATATTCTGTTTACAGATCAGCTCCATCCCACAAAACTAAACCACCAGCAATCGGAGCACAGGCTGGTACCCCAACCTACTCTGAGGAATTTCTTCTGGCTCAAGCTGGGGAAGGTCAGAGGTGTGGGCTGTACTTGGACTCTTTGACTTAGCAATGGTTCTTAAATAGAACCCAACACAGATGTATTACCGCACCCCCAGGGGAGATGTGTAATATTGCCATTCAGAATGTGGATGAGTGTGTAATCATCTGCTTATGGTATGTGTGCGCTCTGTTTCAGGGGGAGAGGGATAGGAGAGAGGCAATTTTACTTGTTTTCAAATTTAGCCCTCACTCTGTTTAGGTCCCCATCCCTGCCCCACAGGCATGGTAGTGACTGGGGAAAGAAGGAATGGCAAGGAGAAATACTCCATATCCAGCTGGATACTGACTGAGAGGCAGTCTTTTATGCAGTTCTGTGTATATCTGTGCTGCATATTTCTTTTTAGAACAGTATGTTTCTGTTTTGTCAGCCACATGAAAGAATGTCCTACTGGTATTCAAAGCTACTTGGAGAATTTCAGCCTGATGTAGTGAGGACTGCAGTGACAGCTTTCAGGGCCATTTGTTCAATACATGTGAATGTAGGTAACTTCACACTTGATAGAAAGCTACCTACCTGATAGCTGTGCTCTACTGTGTAAATACTTCTTGAAATTATATAAGATCCTTATGAGGACTAGGTGAGGGGAATATGTACAAGATGAAGTTATCCCAGTATAAATTAATATTAGCTTAAAAAACTAATTATTTTAAGTGGTATATGTTGAAAATTGGAGGCCAGTCACGTGAGGCAATGAGTTGTGCAGCTTTTAATTTTGAAGGCTGGAGGAAAAATGATGTACCACAAGTGAACATGAACTTTACAGTCTTACTCTGGTTTCTTCTTTGCACTCTTGTGATCGCTGATCGTGGTCCAATTCCTCACAAACCGATATTTCTAAAGGATAGCCAAGCCTAAAACAATGATATCTTTTAGGTGTTCAGTGAGGGGCACTGGCAGAGCCATTTGGCAGGGCAGATTAAGAAGATAGATTTTAGCCGCCAGGTTATGGATACACTGAAACCGAGAGTGATAAGGGAACCAGAGAGGCCAAAAAGTAGGAGATAACCAAGCCAAGTGTTTTTAAAGATGGAAGAAAGGGGCAGAGAAGAGTGGCTGGATTTTTTTAAAAAAATGTAGTGGTGAAAGTAATAACCGGAACCACCTAGTGACTACCTGGCCTATGGGAATGGCCGGAGGGGTTGAAAATAATAATAGGTTACAAAGTTGAGTGACTGAACGTGGGTGGCCTTGACAATAATTATAATCATATATTATAATCAAATATTATAATCATCAGCAGTGCAAGAACAGAAGTACGCCTAAAAGGAAAGATTAGCTCAGTTTTTATCATGTTGAGTTGGTGGGATATCCAAAATTACACATCAGAAAGGCAAGCACGATAGTGGCTACAGAGGTGATTTGTCCTAAAGCATTGGTTCTCAGACTGTGGTCCCAAAGCGCGTCTGCCTTATAGGTTGTCTGCAGCTTGAGCTCAGCCCCCTCCCATGCAACAGAGTGGAGGGGGCCCACCTGGCTCAATGCAAACCTTCCTGTGGATCGCTGTGGGAAAAGCAGTGCACGGAGCCGCTTGCTCTGCCTCTCTGCAAGCCGGATCTGGTGGGGAAGGTCGGGGCTTATTTCACACCCCTCCCCCACCACGTGCCCTTGAGTGGGAAGCCAGAGTTGGTGCTCCAGCCTTGTGGCTATATGGTGACCACAATCCTGGAGCAGCTGCATGGACTCCCCACTGCAAGAGGAGGGGCTGAGCTTGAGCCATGGACCACCTGTAAGGTGGCCGCGGACCACTATTGAGAACCACTGCCTTGGACTTAAGATAAAGAATGGCCAAGAAGCCTTTGTGAGGAGTACCTTGTTTTATAGGGAGGAGGCAAAATCCAGACTGCCAGATGATCTTAAGGAAATGAGATAGGAAATTGTGGGAGTAGTTAGAGAGGGATGTTATCAAGGAGCTTGGCAGTAAAATAAAGAGAGACAACAATAGCTGAAAACATCAGGGTAGCTTTAAGGATAAGGGAATTTAAGCACTGCTTGAACAATGATGACAGGAAGGAGCGAATTCCACCCTGGGAACTTGGAATATTGGGTGGGAATGAAGCAGAGGGTTGGTTAGATGTAAATAGGAAGTCCACCTTGATATCCGAGATAGGACTAATGAAGCAAAAATGTGGAATGGCAAGTACAAGTCACTTTGTAGATCACATCTATCTTCACCATTTGAAGATGATCTGAGAAGAGAGATGGGGAAATGTGCTGTTGGGGGTGATGGTGTAAAACTCAGAATGGTATATAATGCAGGAACTAGTTTGCTTCATTTTAATTTGTCATGGCAAGCAGTTACATCTGCTTGTGCATTGTCAATACTTATAGTACACCTTTCTGCAAACCAGGTGTGGGGCCCTTAGTCTGAGCTCTACATTGATACCTTGTACAGTGGGATTTGGCCTGGGGACTGCTTGAGAGCCCCCACCCTGAGTTCTGATCTGGATATATGTGCCCACACAAAGTCACTGCAAAATGAAGGGTGTCATTCCCTCTGAAAACACACTGTTGTCCACCCACATGAACTGGAGCCCTAAAACATAAACTTCATCAAGCTTAACTCCTCTTTCCTATACCAGAATCTTTTATAAGTGGAATGATATTTGAGTTGAACGGTTTTCTTACTTGCCACAAATATTTCACTGTTCTGATGGTCATCTACCCTTCTGGATATACATTAACAAAACAATCTCTTGAACCCTTCTTCAATAAAATGTAGCTGTATTCATTAAGATAGACCTGTATCACAGCTAAAGAGCACAATAGCAACAGTGCTTCTTGTCAATTTCTGGCCATTTTCACTGTAACTATAGTAATTTTTAGGCATCTAAAGTGCTTTTGATGAAACACATTTAATATGGAACTGTGTAAGCTTCTCTAAAAAAGCTGGAAAAAGAATAAGGCATAAAGAGCTAGAGGGGACACTCAGATATATGGGACAAGAGTGATAAAAAGACAAAATTAGGCTACTTGGTAAAAGAAATAAAAGAGAAAATTTCTTAAGATAAGTGGTGGCTGAAGGAAACTGATCAATGAAAAGAAACTGACAAATGCAAAGTGGCAGTAAAAGACATAGGATCAAAGAAAACTAGATAAAGGATAAAGAACATGCAAGAGACAGTTGGAAAAGGAACAGTGTAATAGACAACGAAAACATCCAGAACATCTGAAGATTAAAAAAAAAATGTAAGAGCAGAAAAGCCTTGGAGCTGTTGTGTTTAGTGTATACATTCTGGGGCTTATTCAGCTTTGTGTGTCAAACTCATTAAACCTGGTAGTTGCATACACAAATCTCCTCAAGGAGAATTTAAATGCCATTACTAGTGTCAGTTAAGACAGGATGTAAAGGGATAAACTTTTGTTTTTATTTTATTTTATGATGTATAAAGTTGGAATCACTATTTATTTTGTTTTCCAAAAATCCTCCTCTTTTCGCCTCAGTAATTTACCTTAAAGTGCTGGGAATATGGATCTAGTGTTGGCTTCCCTGTCTTTTTTTAGATAACCCTCCAGAGGTAGGGATGTAAAATCCTGTTTAATTGGCTAACTAGTTAAACATATTTTAACCCATTAACTGATTAAAGCAGTGGGAGGAGGGGGGGTGCTCCAGACCAGCTGGAGCAGCCTATCTTGTCCGCTGCTTAATTGGAACTCCCCTCATCCCCCACGGACAGAGGCTGCTCCAGTGTCCTGGCCAGAGCAGTCCTTGCCTGCAGGGCCCCTGTGCCCGCCTCAGGCAGGGGCTATGCTGGAACAGCCCCTGTCCGCAGCTAGCCCACAGCAAGACTAGAACAGCTCCTTGCCCACAGCAGGAGAGAAGCTGCTCCAGCCTCCCCAGTTAACTGGTTAAACTTTCACGTCCTTATCCAGAGGAGTAAGAAACTAGAATTAAATAGGTTATCTGTTTTTATTCTTTTACAACCCTCAGGGCTAGAGATGTAAATTCTTTTTCTGTGGGAACTTGGCAGAAATGGATGTAGGCTTACAGCCAGCATGAAAAGACTTCCACTTGCAAATATATTTTTGAGGTCTTGATTTATAAGCTTTTCCAGCATACCCAACATTTTAACAGGAAAATATGTAATGGAACACTGTTAGAGGAATATAGAAGTAGCATGTTATTGTTGGGGTGGGTATTTTCAGGCCATAGTGATAACAGTGGACT